TCCGATCCAGCCCAGGCCCACCTGTGTGGGGATGGCAGCCTCACCATGGGCTAGACCCCTCTTTATCAATCACCAGTTAAGAAAATGTTTTGGCCAGAGACCAATTCGATGGAGACAGTTCCGCAGCCGAGGTTGTCGCTAACGGGTGTTTGATATTCTGTGCACACAAGGCTTAGCAATGGCCAAGAATCACCTTGGGATAATGGGTCTAAATGTAAAGTCAGAAAATCTTTTTCTGCTTGGAGGGGTGCAGTGGGGGAGGATAGGCTGCACCTTAAGTAGCTAACCTACTTCTCTTCCCTTCCTGGAGCCCCTTCCCCAGCCCCCTTGTGGGTTGCCTGAGTCCTGTTTGCTGATAGAGACAAGGCAGGAGCAGAGCTCCGAGTGTCCAGTGCTCCTGCTGGAGTTCCTCAGGCAGTTTTGTCTGTCCCACTCTGACTGTCCCCCTGGGTCTGGTGCCTTCTCTCCCGAAGACTGACGTGGGGAGCATTAGAATTGACATAGATATAATCTTGCTGACATTGCTGTGAGTTTTCTAAAAGCAAGTTTTCAGTGTCTGCACTTACCTAACTGTACCGGGAGCAGTTTCCAGAGCCTCACCACAGCTGGCTCATACCACCCCAACTCACGGTCTGCACCAGGCCTCTGGCTGGTTCAGAGGTGGCCACATCCAGATGTACGGGGTAGAGAAACTCCTCCTGAAAGAGACCACGTGGTTTGTTTGATCATACATCCCTACCTGGGCATTCGTTGCTATAGGGAGACACTGGACACCAGCTGTGATGGTTGATTTTCATCGTCAACACAATCTAGAAAAGTCTCAATGAGGGACTTCTAGGTCAGGCTGGCCTGTGAACACATCTGTAGGGGAGTATCTTGATTAGGTTAATTGATGTGCGATGACCCAGCCTAAAAGTGGGCGGTACCACTCCCTGGTTTGGCTCCCAGACTCTATGAAACAGGAGAAAACCAGCTGAGCAGTGGCAAGCGCCCAGCGTCCCCACTGCTCCCCGCTCTTCTTTTGTAATTTATTATTATTTAATGTGTATGAGTGTACTGCCTGCATGTAAGTGTACCTGTGTTGTGCAATGCCCGAGGAGCTCAGAAGAGGGTGGAATTCCCTGGAACTGGAGTTATGGACAGTTGTTAGCCACCAGGTGGGTGTTGGGCTCTCTGATAGAGCAGCTGGTGCTCTTAGCCACACAGCCATCTCCAGCCCCCACATTCCTCTCTGCTCCTCACTGCGCATGTGACTATTTCAAGTTCCTGTCTTGATGTCCCTGCAAACCTGGAACCATGAGCTAAAACAAACTGTCTCCCCGTTGCTTCCAAAGTACTTTCTCATAGCAACTGGACAGGAAGCTAAGACTCCAAGCCTCCTTCTGTGATCACCAGTGAGGGCATCTTCCATCTCTTCCCTCAGATGCAGCCCTCTCTCCCTCCCTCCCGTCTCCCTCCTCACAGACTGCCTTTCTTGATACTTGACACCTCCATCCACCTCCTCCATCCTTCTGGGAAGATCAGTTCTAGTTGGCTCCTCCACAGACCCTCGTCTGGACCTAGACTGGGTGTCCACACTCAGAGATGTCGTGCATGGGTATGGGGCCAGCACACGGCCACCATGCCCCTGGCGGCTCCTGCATCACCCACATCTCCTTTTCCCAGTTAACCTGCTCTTCCCTAGAAGCAGGGATGGGATCCTTGCTTAGTGTCCTTCCCAGTGCAGAGCAGGTGGGGGGCTCTTACAGACTCCAGGGAAGATGGAAAGGAGGGTGAGGGACAGCTCAGCCTGCACCCCACAGGGGAGGCCACACCGTCTTCTCCCCAAGGGCCAAGTCCCACCAGCCACACCTGCAGCCTCAGCTGTCACCTCACTGAATCTTGTTTTTCCAGTGGCCCAGCTGTTCCTGGCAGTGACTGGAGGAGGAAGAGGAGGAGGAGGAGGAGGA